GGGCTGGGATGGGAGCCCGGCAGATCCAGACTGTTCACATCTGAGAAACAGAAACTGGGCAGCCTGGTAAAAGTGTCCATGTGGCACATGGATCCCTGCAGAGTGAATTTAAAAACAGGTATCACCGATCATTTGGTTCTTAAAAGTGATTCATAAGCCAAGGGAGCTTAGCTTTGGGAGACAGCAGTGGGATGGGGTCAGGAGCTCCATGCTCAGCACCTGGCTCTGGATTGACTCTGCAGAAAGGGGTGGCTTGCCCAGGACACAAGGGCTACTGCAATTGTCCTTTTTTCCAGACACCAACCACATGCTTTCCTTTGCAGATATAGGGGAAATGGCTTTGGCCACCATTCAGCAGTTCTCAAAATCCTCAAGTCCTTAATGCTGGAAGGACCAGGCTGCAAAACACAGCAGCTGACCTGCAAGCATGAAATCCAAAGCTTGGCTTTGCAGCTGATCCCTCAGCTGCTACTTAAAAGCCATGTTGTTTTGCAAAGCCCAAAACCTCATACTTTCTCCTTATTGGATTAGAAACCGGGGGGGAAAAGCACATTACTGAAGTTCCTGAGTACAACTGGATATCGCTAGCAATGAGTTCCCAAGCCAGAGCTGCTATTGACACACAGCAGTGCTCATGCTGGGCACACCACCACTTCTCCTCACGTTCATATGCTCCCTGTTCAAGCAGCATACAGAACAGGCATCACCCCAGCATGTCAAGAGGAAGGGAAGGCACAGCTCCAAGGGACAGTTGTGCATGGAGAATCCTGCCCCAGCACTGCACATCATGAGCCACAGACCCATCGACCACCACAAAGCCTTTCAAAGGCAACAGATTTAATGTCTGTGACAGGGGGTACCATCTCTTGACTACATCCTGATAGCATCCAGAGAGCAGCTCGGATGAAATGCATTAGTTGTCCCAAGTACAGCAACAACAAATGCTGTGATAAATCTTATAAGCTGCCAGAGACCTTTTTATTGTTCCTCAGGCTCACAAGTTTCCACTACTTCATAAAGCAGCAGGGAGGGGATACAGCCGTCTTCCATGTGAGGGGAAGGCATAAAGCCCAGGCAACATCAGTGGGCAGAGGCCTGCACCCACCCTGAGTCTGGGGGGCTGGGGACACAGCCATTCACCTCCCCAAATAGCAAAAAACTTGTCAGCTGCTGGAATCTGGGCAGAGGGACCCAGGGAAGGTTACCTGCTCTGGTTTCACAGGCTAAAAACAGCCTGCTGCACATCACAAGCAGGATGCAGGGCTGGATGGAGGTTGCTCTAATTTCTTCTGCATCACTAACTCAGAAGTGAAAAGGCTGCAAAGCCCCATTGGGAGCAGTAAATGGAATTTCCTTGAAGCCTGGGGAAGATAAATGTTGAGGAATGTCTGGGGCAGCATCTCCTCTGAACCCATCCCTCCAGCAGCAGGGATGCAGGCTGGGAGCAGGGTGTGGGATCAGGGAGAGGCAGCATCTTGTGCTTCAGGGGCAAGCAAAGCCACACCAGACTCAGCAGCTCCTCTGAGCATCTAAGCTATCTGAGGAGCCACCAGAGCATCACTCTGACTCTGCAAGGATAGAGATGCCACTGTGACCCACCCCACTGTGAAGAGAGCCAGAGAGGAGTCCTGGGTCATGCCGGGGCTCCTCCTTTCCTCTCCAAATCAACCATCCCAGCCCCCTGCCTGGTGCACACCACCACACACAGAGAGTTTCATTACAAGCCTCGGAGTGACAAGGAGTGTTAAGCAGATATAAAGGACATCAGGCATTCACCCATCTGGTGGAAAGTCTAGTTGCTGGCGGAAAATAGAGAGGATTGTTATGGCAAGATCTACCATATGGCACCATTATGTGGAGCTTTGCAAGTGCTTTCTCTGAGCGTGCAAGCAAGATTTCAGCCTTTGAAGAAATGCTGTATTGTTAGCCTGGATACGCAGGAGCCTCTTGAAAGAAGCTGTGGCAGATGGCACAGCTTTGTTCTCTTGGTTTGCAGGCAGTTCGTGCAAGCCCAGACTTCCTCCTCTCTGGGGCACAGTGATCAGTGATCCTCCTGATGTGTCCTATGGGAGGAATGATGGCTCCTGAAACTCCTGAAATCCAAAGGATGCTGCCTGGCAGGTACCACACCTCTGCACGAGCCTCAGGATGCAAACACCGCCTACCCAAGCCAGCAGGACACAGCGGTGCTACGCACGGAAAGCTGCACGAAATCATAAAGCATCGCCCCAGCCAGAGGAGCTGCAAATCAGTAAATCTTGCTGAAATACTCTGCTTTTGTTTGTGCCTCTCTGCCAGCACCTGCTCCTCCCTGGGTGGCTGAGCCTGGCCAGAGCCCCGGCAGGACAGGGGACAAAGAAAAGCCTTTCAGACAGGGCCAGTGCCTGCTTGAGCGACATCCCAACAATGCTGCAACAAAACCCATTCAGACCAGGCTGGGGGAGAGGCGGAGAAAGGGAAAAGGTTCCTCTGGGAGGAAGTGGTGATCAGTCATTGACCACAACAACATCTGCATCTGCCCTGAACCAGGGAAAAGCCCCTGGTTGCTGCATATGGCTGGCTGGGACAGGGAGCATTGTCCCTGCAGTCTGGGATGAAGATCAGGCATTTCTTATTGCTGAAATTTGTGCCCAGGCAAAAAAAAAATTTAAAAAAAAAAAAAAATCCCATTTCCCTGTTGTTCCTAATGCAACTAAGTGAAAAACACCTGCACAGACACAGAATAAACCCCTGACTATTTATCTATTCTATTTACCTATCCTAATTAAAATCCAAATTGTCCATCTAACACAAAACAGGCCAAAAAACAGACACTGGGAGAGCAGCCCAAGCCTTTAGCTGACCTTGGAGTCACAGCTGCTCAACGTCCCTCTGCAACTCAGGCCCTCATCCTGTGCTGCTGGCATGGGACAATCACCAATTTCTCACACTACGGATGTTTCCTGCCTCAGATCAACGAGGCACACTTAAAAACACACAATGATCAGGGAAGATTTTACAGGATGGCTCCAAAAAGAAAGGGACTTCACCCTTTGACGTAAGCAGCAGGCTGGGATCTGCAGAGCAGGGATCCGACTCTTGTTTGTGTTTGTGGGAGGATTGTCCATGCCAAGAGACCAAACCTACTGCTGCAATGTCCCCAAAGATACCCCCTATCCCAGGCTTGAAATCCTCCATCCCTCCCACTCTGATCCATGATGCCAACAAGTGGGGCAGAAAAGTCACAATTAATCTGCAAGAGAAGATTTGGCAAAGGACCAACTCCAGCTGGCAAAGCCTCCAGATCCCCTCCAACCCCTTTAACTTCCCTCAACCCAATGGGCTGAGACAGCCAAGGACTTTGGAGGGAGCCTCAGTCCCACAGGGCAGGCACAAGCCATCCCACCCAGGAGGACTGAGCACGATGGCATCGGGCTCCCGCAGGCGTAAAGATCAGCCCAGCACCCCTGAGTGCTTTCTCTGTCTCCCTTCCAAATGTTACACAGTGGGTTTGTACAGGAACAGTGGGATACTTTCCAAACCATTTAACTAATGCTGAAATTTAACACCCCACACCAACAGGTTACAGAGAGCAAGAAGGAGCCCTTGTAAGGATGGGGGGTGGAATTTGCAACTTCGCTCCCCTGAATGGGACTCTGCCTTCTTGGGCTTGGCTTCTCCCTCCCTCCCAGTGCTGGTTTGGGTAGAGATCTGCCTGGTGGGCTTTTTGGGGAGCCAGAGGGTTGCAGCCACTTGTGTGGGAGCAGGGTGGGCACCCGCTGTCCCCCTCCCTGCCCAGGGAGGCAGCGTGGCTCCTGCTGCCAGCATGCCCTGGAGCAGCAGCTGCCTCTGGGCCTTTTCCTCACCCTTGGCTGGGGAAAAATAACTGAAAATCTCCACAGCATGGAGAAGGACTGGAGAGCAGAGGGGCCACACCACGGTGTGCCCCAGGCTGGACTGGCTCCTGCCTTGCTGCACACACAGAGGTTCCCTGTGGCACTGTCACTGCACAAAGCATCTGGATGAGTTTTCTTCCATCATCTTGGAAGAGATGTTTTGAAAATCCTGGGTTGAGGTGAGGTACACAGGCTTGGTGGGGCTCCAACAAATGCATCTCCAGAGATGCCCCCTTCAGCCCAACAAACCTTTGGCTGAGGCATGAGAAAAGTGATCCATGGGAAAGAATTTTCCCAGGAAAACCTGATTTAGCCAAGTAACCAGTGGAAAATAAATTGGGACGGAAGCAGCCATTTCACCTGAACAAACCCAACCTGACCAGAGGAGTCCTGCTGCAGAGACACTTCATCCCCACTGTGCTGCACTGCCACATCCTGCCCTTGGAGGATGTCTTGGCAAAACCAGCTTTTATAATACAACCTGGAGCTTTCCTCTACCAAGAGGCCCAGCTCAACAAGTCCAAGCTGCCTGGCATCTAATGGGATGTGCTGTACCTTGAGGTATGACTGACCAGTGACATAATTCCCTGCTCCCTCTATGCATCCAAGCACTGTAGGAAAACCTCATTTCACTACTGAGTGAACTCAAAGTAGAACACCATCCAAAGTACCACACCAAAATGTTTTTGCTTAAAGGAAATTAAAGCTTTTTTTGGCTGTCATTTTTTTTCTTAATCCATGTTTTTTCAAGTTTTGGAACCAAGGGATAAAGAAACAATATCTTGACTTTCCAAATCTCAGCGTTGCCCACACCTGACAATTTCTGTGAAGCTGAGTGCCTAGCAAGTAAAGTAACTTTGCACCTATAGGGAATATTCTGCTTTACCAGCTTGGACCCAACCCCCTGCTGCAAGAAATTAAGAGTTTCTAATGAGAGAGACCACCCCAAAGTGGCAGGACTTCAGGGCGGAGCAGAGCTCAGGGTCCAGCAACAGCAGCCTCCCTTCACGCCAAAGTTTGCCTGAAAACTCAAAACCAAGGCTGGAGAGACCGCAAAGAGGGGGTTGAGGGGAAAGGGGGAGAAACCCCAAAACTCAAACTGAAATTAAGAAGTATCCTACTCACCACCAGCTCGCTGAACATGGCATCCAGCTCCTCCACCGGTGGCATGGGCAGCGAGGGCTCCATGGTCTGCAGGGCGAAGCTGCTGTCATTGCGCAGCCGGTACGTGATCTCGGGGTGGTCACTGCTGCGGAAGCAGCAGAAGATGAAGGAGATCCCCCGGCCGCTCCTCTTCCTCGGGGCCATGGCCACAGTCCTCTGCGTCCCTCCCTCCTGGGCACTAGATCCTGCGGGGAAGAGAAGAGCGGAGGCTCGAGCAGCCGCCCCGCAGCGCTGCGCTCCCGTCCCGCGGTGGGAGGAGGAATCGAGCCACCCACGCGCTCGGCACCGAGGGGAAGAGCAGAGACAGTTTTCATGCCAAATATTTCTGCTCAGATTTGACGTTTACAGTCCTGGCAACCTTGACGACCACGCAAATTAAAAAGATGGATTTGCTTTGCCTCGTGCCAGAGCTGGCAGCGGCAGGGGTCACGCCACTGTCCCCGTGGGATGAGTCCTGGGCCCCACCACTGTTGCCAATCCCAGCAAATCTGCAACAACCTCCCCGTGCCATGGCAGCCAGGCCAGCCCCCCTCATACCCACACCTCATATCCCCTCATGCCAGAGGTATGGAAAATTCAGGAGACTGCTGTCAGAACAGCTGGATGTGCTTGGGGCCACCAGGTCCCCACCATGGGTGATTCAATCCTTGAAGACCTCATGCGGCTAAGCATGCCCCGAGCTAAAGACAGCAGCAGAGCTGAAAAAATATCCTGCACGCTTCTCCCAACTCTTAAACGTGTCCCTAAACATCCACCAGCAACCCCTGGTACGGCAGCTCTTTTTCATGGAAAGTTTTACTTGGCTTTAATTAGATAAACCTTACTTGCAGCTCCAGTAAATATTTACAAGACGCGATTTCAGCTGATAAAAATCACACGGTGCTGGTAGCTCAGATTTTCCTAAGCAGTGCTGACATTGAGCATCGCTCGCCCCAGCACTGCTTGAGTTTTGCTGATTTCTGAATCTCTGGCTGAGAGCAAAGCTCAGGGCAGGAACCATGTGTCCTGCCTGCCTAATGACAGCAAGGACCAGGCAAAACTGCCCCAAAATTGGGACTCTTAAGTCAGCAACACAAGAGGAGGGTCACCAATGAGGAATGAGGAGTGTGCAGAAACACTCTAATGAGAAAAATCAACCAGCGAAGTAGGGAATCTTTCAAAGCCTAAACATTTGTCTTACAAAGTTACACACCCACATATTTTATCTCTGCAAAACAAGACACTGAGATGTTAAGAGACTGGACAAACAGCCAAGGTTGAAATATGGATGACTCAGATTTATTAACAAAGCTATGAAGAGACTCGGGGGAAAAAGGTCAGCATTTAGAAAGGAGTGTCTGATCTCCCTGGAGCCTGCCATTCCCTCCAACTATGGATTTATACAGCAGAATAAACAGCTGCTGTACCCTGTGGAGAGCCAGGGCTGGGGTCAGACCTGGGGTTAGACCCCGCACCACCACAGCATGGCAAACACTGCCCTCTGAAAGCAGGGACCTTACAGAAAATCCAGGCTCTACCCACAGCTCTGTAACAGAGGATTTGACCCTTGAAATGATCTCGATGGCACGTTTTTAGCACATGGTGTAATCATCTCCTGAACCACAGCGATGGGAAACAGCTATTGGATCTTCACGCAGGATAATCCCAGGCTGTGCAATTGCTCTGTGCCTAGCCTGGAGAGTCCCCCTCTTCCTGAAGGGCCCCAAATCTCATTTCACATTTTTTACATCTTGGATGTAGAAATATGCAGCCGCTGGAGGAATTTCAGCTGCCATGAAAGCTCTCTCATCACGGCTCCCCAGCAGCCAGCACCGCAGCAAATCCATTAGCAGCCGCCTGCTGGCGTCCCCTCGGTGTCAGCAGGGTTTGGGGACCTGCTGCCGAGTTTCTCGCCTAAAAAAGGGAGGGAAACAAAAAACCAAAGGCACACGGATTTCTGTCCACTCCAACACAGGAGAAATCACTGCAGGTTTGAGTTTTAAAGAGCCACATGGAGCAGGGTGCAAAGGGAGATGCTGGTGGCTGCCCAGAGCTTTGTGCCCAGCGCGGGAGCTCTGTCCCAACCTACACTGGGTCCTTGGATGTGCAGTTTGGTCACTTGGTCATTCCATGGGTACAGCCACACAATTCCCAAAGCAGTGTCTGACCCCGATCCTGCTCCAGGAGCTGGTCTGGAGCAAACAGACCCAAGTCCTCCACAGGGCATTCTCCATCCCCTTTTCAACACCATGTCGACCTTGTCCTTGAAACCTGCTGCTATCTCCAAGCTCTGACTTGGGCTTACAAAAACCTGTGGAAGGCTTTTATCAGAACAACATCTGCTCTTCAGAGATATGCACTCCTGACAATGTTTTATGAGGAGTCTGAATGACAGACCAAAAGGCAAGGTTTTATTTTGGGGTTTAGAGCAGACAGCCATGTAGCAACCAAGACAAGGCACTTTTGAGCTGCTTCCAGCTCTGGAGCTATTGAGGTTCTTCATTTTCATCTATAAACAATTTAAAAAACCAAACCACCCTATAACGTAGACTGAGTGGGCTGTAGGTTATTAGCAACCAAGGCTAAAAAAAGGTTAGGGAGGGAATATGTTAGCTACCAGGCAAATAGCATTAAACCTTCAGAAGGCTGATGAATATTCATTGACATGATGGATCAAAATCAAAACACAGCTCCCTGGCAGGTCGTTGGGAGCTGCAGACAGCGCAGTTTGCATCATCAGAACGAAGTCCAGCTACACAGCCTCCTCCCCTGCAAATCCTGCAGAAATTGGTTATTCAAGAAGAAAAAGCAGCAGCCCCTGGCAATCTGGAGGCTTGTGTTGAGAACAGAAGGGACATGTTCTATGCTGCATCATATGTTAAGTGTCCTGCTCCCACCTCCTGCTTGTACCTTTGACCGCTAATTAGATCAATAAATTTAAGTCAGATTGTGATCTGATGGTGCCTTCTGGCCTCTACTATTGAGCGGGGCCTGAATAAATTAAGCTTAATTGCCCCTGTAAGAACAGAGCCAGGGAAGATGGGTTGGGATGGGTCACTGAAGGAACTTGTAGCCAAGCCCAAATCTCAAGGCAGGACTGATGGGGCTGAATCATTCCCAAACAACTCTGTTTTCACAAAAACAAGGCTGAAAATGTGTGTGTGATGGGCTCAAAACTGGAAACCCAGACTGAAGAGAAGGAGGAGAAGGAGCTTAGCTCACGTATGCAACCAGCAGGGATGGAGGCCACCCGGCTCAGTGATACAGAGATAGGAGTTTAGTTCTCCCCAGCCCTAAGAAGAAAAGCATCAAGCCTACATCGCCCTGAGCAGTGTTTAAATGAAATCAGTCATTAGGAGAAAATTGGACCCTGGTGTAGCTTCCGCCTTTGCTTTAAGGAAAGGAGAGCAGCAATTACCACTTGCATATTCAACAGCCTCCTCAGCAAGCTAAATTAAACAGCGTGGAGCAACGAGCTGCCAAAGCCTGTCTGTGACCGATGCCCCAACCAGCTGGTTGGGAGCCAGCACCGGTATTGCAGCATTGCGGTCTGCAGCCTAAAAATACCCAACAAGGGCACAAACATATGCAAAGGAGTGTGCACGCTCCCCTTCACACCCTCCTCCTCCAAACCCACCCAGGAGCCAGGAGCTAAATCCTCAAACATGAATATTAGCTTGTTGTTTTCCTGGCTCCCCTCCCGAAATGAGGATGCAAGATCCTGAGCGAGCTCTTTCTCTGAATGTGGAGCTTTATTCCAGCACCTTGCACAAGGAGGGAGTGGTTTTGCTGCAAGTGTAACAGCGTTCACTGACCGTCTCTGCCATGTCCTCACCAATTTCAGCATCTTGGGCCATGTCAAGCTTTGCCTGCCTTTACTCTGCAAGAGCTTCAGCACGGCCTGGGATACTCCCAAACAATGGAAATATTCCAACTCTCATCCGTCACTGCGAATTGACCTCCTTGGCTGGTGATGGTTGGGAGGCACTTGGCCTCAGCAAGGACTTTAGGAAGACACCATCAGTGTCACCAAGTGTTAGAGCCAGCTGTCCTGGACCCCTTTTCTCTTAGAAAGCAGGAATTTGGCATTGCACACAGTTTGGCATTGCACACAGTGCACTCTGTTGTTGTCCCACCCCACCACCGAGCAATGCTCATCCTCCCTCAGGGTTTCTCCACATGAATTCAACACCCAGAACAGGGCACAGCACAAGATAACTTGCATCATTTTCTTTTTAAATAAATAATTGTAGATCATTTTCCTTCCCTGTAAGTCACATCCAGACCTCCACAGCAATAAAAACTGGATGCTCCCACATTTTTCAGATCAGCTGTACATTTGCAGCATTCCCTGAGAAGCACCAAAGCACCTTTTTAATTTTTCACCTTACAGACCTAAGACATACAACACCTTCCTTGGCTCCACTCAGAAACCCAACCTCTTCTTGGGTCTGACTGTGAGCGTTCCAGAGTGTGCCCATGGTGCTCTGCCCATCCAAGAGGCACCAGCACAACCTTCTTAAGAGAAGCGCTCCTCCATTTCACATTTGCATCAAAGATGGTGCATGGGAACACTTTTTACCAAGGGGGGCAGGGAGTGGGTCAAAGCATTGTTCAATTTCAAAAATAAAAGGTTTGACACTGAGCTCCTGCATGGATGAAATGCCCAGAAATAGGATTGCCTTCCCTCCAACACAGAAGCTTAAAGGATCTGAGCCCACTACCAGCACCTCCACCATGCTGAGCATGATGCTGCTATCCCCAGCACAGCTGCTCCTGTTTAAAGCAACCAGAATGATTTTTAGGCCATAAACTCTGATTTCCAATACCCCCTTTCTCCAGTGTAAAGCTGTTTTCAGGCACAGGCTGGACAGGGAGCAATGTTTGTGTTTGGTGGAAATCAGTGCATAACATCAGGAAGGGGCAAAAAGCCCAACACATTCAGCTAAAAGGCTTTAGAACTATTGATTGCTTTTTCTCCCTCCATCTACTTTCAAAACAGCAGCCCAGAAGGGATGGGAACAGGACCTTTTCCATGATGCAGCTGCCAGGAGGAGCCTGACTCATCATTACTGCATCACAAGAGCTGTGATTCTCAGCACAAGCAAATCTCAAAGACTTGGATTTCGTGCATTTATAAATAACACCCGCCAAATCCTGAATTACCCCTCATCCCAGAAATCCTATTATACTCCATGAACACAAC